CAACAAATGTGTCATCAAAGAATAACTAGGCACACACAACTTAAGGTCATGGAAAAGGAAGACATCACTAATCATGTAGCTTGGATAAATAGCCCTATCCCCCCTCTACAAAGCATCAAAAACCTTGGAAAAATACGGATCACTTGCATAGAAGGTGTGAAACTCATCAAAACTCACACCTTTATTCATCTTAATCAAAAGAGTCATTCACCTACTTAAACCGTCAGATGGTGCTGGTGTTGCAGATGAGGTACATTAGTCCAATGTTAGAGAGACAATAAAGATTGGGAGCTTTAAAAAGAGAGTTTTAGAAGAGTTTTAAATAGGTGAGGCCTACTTGTAATGTGTGTGTGTTTTTTTGTATTGCTACATGTGTAAAGCTCTCTGTAGAGTTTAAATATTAGAGTTCTCTATCATTATTGTTTCTGATAATAGTAGCATAGATAAGAAAATAAAAGAAAAAAATGAAGGGTAATATTGACTTTTTGCCAATATCACTAACAGAATTAAACTTTGCACTTCATCCCAAAATATAAGGAGATTATGTATGTATTTCTAAACCTAAAGGGGATAATGTGTTTTTCAATAAAATGACAAGGGGGTATAATTTTTTTTTTTTTGTACATATATATTTTTAATTAAAAAAATAAGATTAAAATTGATAAACTTAGGGGTCGTTGGGGGTTTACTTAGTTAATGTATTTTATGAAAAGATGTATGAAAAAGTAGAGAGGTGATGTAATTAAAATAAATGTACTTATCAAATAAGTATACTTATTTAGATTATTCCCAAACAACCCTTAAGTTTTTAGGTTGGACTTTGAATAGATAAATACAATTTTATATATTTATCTTTATGTGAAATATATATAAAATTGTATAAAATTGCATTAAAACCCATATTTAACGAGATTAAAGATAAATACAATCCAATAATATAATCATAAGGAATGTAATTATATATTTCAATAAATAAATTTAAGGTTTTTTATCTTTCATGATTCAATATTCAATTTTAATTAACGAAATGCACTTCAAAATTTTGTATCATAATTTTTTATATATTTTTTTTAATTTAATAAAAATTAAAATCAAAATCTATATTAAACCCATATGGGCCAGACATGGCCCGAAGTTCACAAGCCCATGGGTAAAGTTTGGGTTTTAGACATATCAATGGACAAGGTTGAGGCTGACTAGTTGATCCGTCAAAGCCCATGGACCTGGCCAACCTGGTCCATTGTCGAGGCTTAGGTTTTTTTTTTGGTAAATTACTTGAAAATCTTATTTAAAAGAGGATAAGTTTATTTAGTCCCACAACTTTTTGAATACTCTCAAAAGTCCTTTACCTATTTTGCTTTTTCATTCTTCCTGTGCATTCGTTCTTCTCTCCCTCTTTCTCTTCCTGATTTCCAATGACCGGCAACCATTCTTTGTTTATTTTCTCTCTCTTTCTAATATACAGTCACTGACAACTACCATTGCTTGGGATTCATCGGCAACTACCGATCATTTACTCCTAACTTCACCCTCACTGACGGCGAAAGAGACGAGTTTTCGGCGAAGAAGATGAGTAGACCTACTCAGATCTGATGTCAATCTACTCAAATCTACACCAGATCTAAGCAAATCTACATGAGGTCCGACTAGATCTAAACTAAAAATAGTTACCGGAGTACAATATTCTCTCAATATCTGTTTTTTTCCTTTGACTTCTCAATTTTTCTACATTTTCTCTACTACACACTTCTATTTTCCTGTTTTAATGGAGAAAATTTTCAAGTTCTGAACAAATTATTTTTAAGTTTTAGTTACAGGCGATAAAAATTGTAAAATTTTACAGTTTTAGTTTTTTTGGTGTTGAAATAAATCATACTTTAAAACTGTAAAATTTTACAGTTTTAAACTTTGTTTTGGGATTAGATGGATTTTAAACTTTGTATATAGAACTTACTAATAAGTGGTCCATTTTTTTAAAAAAAAAAAGAGAAAAAAATTAAACTAAATTAAATTTCTCTTATTGAACTCGCAATCTCAAATCATAAAATGGTATTACATGACTATTATGCCAAAACCTTAGTTGCATTGCAAGAATTTACTGACGATCTTTTACATTAAAGATGAAACAATTAATTATTTTTGCAAGTGATAGTTTGTTTGGTATGTCTTCATATTCAATGTTACCATTTTCATTTTTGTTTATTATTAATATATCTAATGTTATAATAAAGTTCAACCAATTGTATTTATGACGAAAATAATGTATATATAACATATAATTAATGAGTAGTGCTATTCAAATCAAAAACAATAATGATTTAGACCACTAAAAAATACACCACTAATAGCACTAATGCATTGGAAATGATAAAAAAAAAAGAACAAAAAAGAAACAAGGCATAGAAAGTGGGCGGGGCCTACTGCCACATCATTAGTGCTCATTCTAGTGCTCCATTTCTAGTGCTCTTAAGCATTTTTCAATCAAAAAATAAGATCTATTTTTGAAGCCTAATGATTAATCAATCACTCTCATATGTTATTTTTCTTTTGTATATATTCTTTAATTATCAATCAATCAACTCATTTACACACATCATTGAATTTAAAAAGTGAACTTGTATACTATTTTTCATAATTAATACAAAAAAATTCTTGAAGTAAGAAAAAAAATCCTAAACCTAGGGTTGTCATTATTGTTTCTGATAATAGTAGCATAGATAAGAAAATAAAAGAAAAAAATGAAGGGTAATATTAAAATATATTTATATTTCACCTAATTTCACACATTTTCCTTTTTCCTTTTTAAATATATTCTCAAATCTTTCAATCAAACACACGTCGATGGAAAAATTAAAAATAATGATCTATTAGTGAAGTGCAGGGATTATGACCAATAAGTTAGCTTTTGCCCGTTACATTTTGCATGTTTTTAGAAATAAAAGGAATGAAAAAGTTTGCAAAATCTGTCTTCATTAATGAATATTTCTTTTTGGTATAAAAGTAGTTATCAAAAGTTTGAAAAACAACTTGAAGAATGTATTAAAAAATAGGCATAAATGTCGGGATTCATTAAATCAATGCAATCGTGAATACAAGTACACGCAGTTTTGTTTTGTTTTGTTTTTTTTTTTTTGGGTGTGTGTGTAAAAGACACATTTGAGATGCATATATTGCTTATAACTTCAACTCACATTGAAAGATACCACGTTAAATCAATCGCAAAAGTTAGCTATTGAAATGATGGTGCTCTCATGCTTATTTATTATATATTTTTTTAATATTTAGGTGATGTGAGATTTCGCTTCACACAATATGCATGTATATTGCCACAATGCATATTGTGACGGTATAGACAACTTCAATGCATGGTCCATCGACTATTTTATTGAGTATTGGTAGTCTTGGAGTATTACTGTACACCATTTATCACTTGACACTTGTCAAATTATTCTCAAAAATCACAACAAAAAGTACTGAGTCCCACGGTTTGAATCAATAAATATCAAATTAGAATACCACGTGACATTACCCCAGAGTAAAAAATATTTTCTCCAATTTTATCACTGTCTTCTAGATGGGTAAAGCAAGTTATAAGAGGATGGGTTTGAGAGACTCTAAAGAGAGATGGTTGTTGTTTCTAAAGGCTTTACTTTGTTGTGAAAAAAGAAAAAAGAAAAAAGAAAGGTGTTTTTGAAAGCATTTGTAGCACAATTTAAGGGCTAGATAATGAGATGTGGTGTCAAAACTAATGAAGGTTAACATAATATTTGATTTTGTTAACCATTAATATATTAGTAATTGATTGAGGAAGTTTCTATTTGTACTACACCAAGAGAGTTCTACTTGATGCAATATGTGAAAGGAGCATTTATCCGGATTTGCATTTATCTCAACGTGCTAGAGTTTCTGACTAGTGTTTTTCATTTTTAGTACTGGTAATAATACCACTGTCTTAATTTCTATAATTTTTTATTTTGACTTACATAAATTCGTGGGTTTTTCTGCTACATTGAAAAATAGATGGTGTATGAATGAAAAGCATGTAGTCCACTTTGAAATTCTTGAATATGCAGATCACAAGAATGTGTTCTCGTGCCATGTCATAGCAGTACTGGGGAAAAAAAGAAAGTTGAATGATCATAATTATCTGCAAGTGGCCAAGAGGAAAAAAAAATCAAGTTTAATGGTATAGGAAGTTTTAGAATTTGCAAACTGGACAGTTGATTGAAATTAGTTGTAGATTCATCGCATACAATTCTTGAAATTAGTCGCCATCTTATTTTGAATCAGGAAGAGACCTAGAAACGTGCTCGATTAATAAAATATAAATAGAATAGAAAGGCTATTAAGTTCACAGAAGTCTCTATTGTGATGGGTCAATCAAGAAAATAATGGAGGTGCACTAGTCTCCATTGCATTATTGATGATTTTTTTATTGATAAAACTCGTGACTCCATTGTCAAGCAAGGGGTGTCATTCTCAGTGACCAACTTTCGTCTTTCAGAAAGCTTTGTCTCAGTGACCAACATACATCTTGTCCTCTTCAGAAATCTGTTTTAGCGATAGCCTTGTACACTGGATTACCCCTTTGAAAATTATGTATACAAAAGAGCAAACAAGGCTGCCTAAGAGATCTTTGGCATATCTACAATGGGTTCCACTAGAAATATCAGATCAAGATTTGATGGAGAGGAGGTTTCTTGGGCTGTATATTTGGTGGATGTTGAAAGATTCCTTTTGTTAGAATAATAATGGTGGTTATGATCAATTCCTTTACATGTTTCTGTGTTTTCTACTTTTACTTTTATTTTAATTTTTAATCATTTCTTTTAGATGTTTCTCTGTTATCAACTCTTACTCTTATTTTAATAGTTAAGTTTCCTTAGACGAGGAAATCCAAGAAAATGCTTTGGTCAGCTCTACATATTTCAGGTTCTTGTAGGACCCTAAAACAAAGAAAAAGAATGATACTCATATCTATCAGAGCACAAAGGACAAAATAATAATAATAATAATAATAAATATATCATATTGATTGTTAAATAATTAATAACATTACTCTTTAGGTGAAAGTCCCAACCAAACCAGAGAAAACATAAGGTGACATAGCAGTGGAGTAGAGGAAGAAACGACATATATTTGTTTGGTTTGGTGACTTCTAACCAGCACATTGAGAGAGAGAGAGAGAGAGAGAGAGAGAGAGAGAGAGAAGACTATTGTTGTAGGAGACTTCTAAGAATGTCAGAATCAACACCGGTGGTGTCCATATTCGCCAATATTTGAGAGAGTTTGTTGCTCAGATCATCCACCTCTCTGTGCAGCCTCTGGATGTAACTACATGTTTCTTTCAGAATCTTTGATGCCGGTACCTACACAAAATCACAAATATTATGAGTTTATGTTCTTATCTCGGGCTATTTATGATTGTATCCCATTTGATCACATTCTCTCTACAAAAAAAAAATCTTTGAACTTATGCAAAGTGTTTTCCACTAGACTATAGCCTCTGCTTTTCTCGAGATCATTTTGAATTTTCAAGTTATTTTTCTATCAATGCTTCCAACTTAATTCCTTAAACTCATTATTATTGTCAAATCATTTTGTTCTCTCTATCTCCATCACCGTCCATTCTCAATGACATCCTAAAGCATCAAGGTTGAGCTAAGATAATGTCGCTCTGAAAATTTCTTCTTTTTTTTTTTGGCTTTCCATGTGACATGTTACACATTTAGCACAAGTAAAAAAGAGAGTGAAAAAAGAGATCATATAGTATACCCTTGTTCGGCTTCTTGAACTAGAATTTGGTAGTAATGCTTGTAGTTTAGTGACAAGATCATTGATCTCATCTTCACTAATACTTCTTCTTGGGCAAGACATGAGTTTTGCGCCGTGTCTTTCTCTCTCTTGTTTCGCTCTTTTTTTGTGAAGGTGAGGGGGGGAGATTGAAGAGGGACGAAATGTCGGCTTAAAAAGAGGGCGAAGATGAGGTTTAGACACAAGTTAGTTAGAAAAGGACACAAAACACACAGTAATTAGTGACTAAATTAGGGGCCATACATGTCCCTTTACTGCACTACATGGTCACATAATCAAGTGGGCCTTTGCTAATTAAGCCTTTGACAAAAAGCACTTTCGGGTCATCAGTTTAGCTTGAACAACTTCAAGATACATTTCCCCTAATCAGCCACGTGTCAGGGTTTAGATTATGTTTTTTAATGTGTCTAATATCGATGTTTACTTACAACCAGAAAGATACCTTGTTTGGCACCTGTTTTGTCCATTTTATTGCCTCCCTTGTTTGTTTAGGAAAATAATTTAAGTTCACAATTTCCGTCAGTATTTTAAGAAATTGATGTTTTTAGGCTGCAGTTTGTCTACCAAAGTGTTATTTGAAATATGGTTCATGCATGCATGTCTTGCCCTTATATATTGATTTTGGACTACTTCCATATTGAAAATCAAAAAATAAGTCATTGCTCACTAGTTGAACCTATTCATCTTCATAATTCCTATAGACGTAACTATCTCTACTTATTATTATTATTTTTGGGGATAAAAATTGTAGAAGGGGTACTAAACTAGGGGTGTAAAAATGGCCCGAGACCCATGAATAGTCCGAAATCCACCCGAGGCCTGAGATGGGTCTGCCCGGTTAGGCCCGGGCCCGAGCCCAACCTAGGACCTTGGGCCTGGGCCTTCTATTTGAAACTCGGCCAAGCCCGTTGACCCATTGGTCAGGCCCGGCCCAAAAATTTCGAGCCCTGTGGGCAACTCAGCCCACCTAACCTTCTCTCTACCAACGGTCAAATTTCAAAAAAAAATAAAATAAAATAAAAAATAAAAGGTAAGTTGCAAAGGTTAAATAATTAAAAATAAATAAATAAATGCTTGATCTTGCAACAAAGGTAAAATAATTATAAAAAAAAAAAAGGTCATTTTCTTGCAAGGAGACAGAGCTGATCCCTTGTCATGCATCACTATTCACTCACATTATCATTGCAAGTTGCAATGAATGAGAAAAAAAAAACATTTATGCACCTCTGCTGCTGCCCCCTGCTAGTGTCGCCTACCCCCTCCCTTGTCATGCATCACTCTTCACTCACATCATCATTGCAAGTTGCAATGTATAAACAAAACAAAACAAAAAAAATTCCACATCTATTGCTGCCCAGTGCCGCCTATCTACCCCTACCCCCTTGTCAATGTCATGCATCACTCACATCAGGTTGCAATGAATGAAAATAATAATAATAATAATATGTCTGCACCTCTGCAGACTTTAAAAAAAAATTAATAATAATAAAAATAATATAACGATTATATTACCGTTTAACACAACGATATTTTTTTTTTATTTATAAATTTACTTCAATCTTTCAAACTTCTATAAATATCCCCCCTTTTCCAAAGTAAATCCACGAACAATTCTCTCTTAAACTCTTAATCTCTCTCAACTCTCAATTAATTTTGAAGTGTCATCTCTAAGTGACAATTGCAATTGTGTAACAAAAAAATTTTATCAGAAGAAGCTAATTTCTGTATCGCATTCGCTAGTCGATAATATTAATTAGTTTAATTAAATTTATTAGCTACTCATTTTCTCATTAATTATTTATAAACATATATTAATTATTATTTTTTACTCATTGTATTTACACATTATTTAAATTAAGTGTTAGTTCTTATATATTATTTTACTTACATTACTATGGATCTTAATATTCCTAATGTTTATGTCGGTGTTGATACATATACTACACAACATGAATTCGTTGATTCTACTTCTAATATCCCTCTTCCAATAGTTGGATCATCATCTAGGGGCACAACTAGTAGATTTTACCAAACAAGTTTTTATGTGAGTTTTTAAAATTTTTGTAAATATAAACAGAAAACTAAAAACGTAAGTGTTACCAAACGACACCGTAGTGTTTGGGAACATTTTAAAAAAATATCTATAAATAATCTTGATGGTACAATTACATTTAAAGAAAAATGTAAATATTGTGCACATTTACTTAGTGTTGCATCTGTTGGGGTACTAGTCATCTAAAAAGGCATGCTAACAAATATATACAAAGTCAACAATCTGATATTAGAAATCAAATGCAATTAGGGGCTTCATCAACTGGTAATTTGTAAAAAATTTCGTATAATCCTATACGTATACAAAATTATGTAGTTCATTATAGTATTAAAAAAGAACAACCTTTTACTAATAATGAATGTTCCGATTGTACCTAAAAGATTCACGAAAGTTTTACACCGCAATATCAAAAAATTTCAAGAAATACTACTAGAAACAGGATTTTAAAGAAATTTGAGGATGTTAAAAATGAATTGTTTGACATCTTTAAAAAATTGAATAGAAGAGTTTGTTTAACATCTGATCTGTGGTCAAATAATGGTTTAGAATATCAATGTATCACTACACATTTTATTGATAATGATTGAAAATTAAATAAAAAAATTATTTCATTTAAATTAGTTAAATTTCCATACATTGGTCATTCACTTGGTGTAAAAATAAGAAATATATTATATGAGTGGGTTTTACAAAATAAAATATTTACAATTAGTTTAGATAATGCAACATATTATAATCAAACTGTAGTACATTTGAAATCAACTTTACAATTACTTGTTGATGGTGATTTATTTTATGTTTGTTGTTGTGCTCATATTTTAAACTTAATTGTTAAAGAAACTATGCGTGTATACAAGACTTCTATACTTGTAATAAAAAATGCAATTGTTACTATTATATCTTCTGCTAATCGAATTTCGGAATACAGAAAAATTTGTCAACGAGAAAGTATATCATTTAAAAAATTAATTTTAAATATAGATAGTAGGTGAAATTCAACGTATAATATGTTAAAAAGAGCTTGTAAACAAAGAAGATAGATTTATTTTTTGCAACAACATCAATAGGGGGAGTACTGACTCCTACAGAACTTAATTGGCGCCAAGTAGCGTTGTATAAAGATTTTTTAAAAGTTTTTGATACTTCAACAAAATTATGTTCATATATATATATATATATATATATATTCCTATTTCACCATTTCCTTTACATATGCTAGCAGAAATAATTAAAGTTTTCGTAAAATATATGGGTAATGAATATTATCTAACCATTATTATTTCAATGAAAACAAAAATTTGATAAATATTTTAATCATATGCCTTATCTTTTAGGTTTAGTCATAATAATTGATCTTATGTGTAAAGAAATTGGTTTACGAGAATTTTTAGAATATATTTTCGTTAATTAAATACAATGTTTACCCCTATTATGCAAACATGTAACAGATTTTTTGAAGAATACAGGGTAGTTGCATCTGTGAATACACCTACACACACTACACTGGCAATCTCATCTCGAGACAGAAGATTAAGTGTTTTTTCAACAATAAAAAGTAGAAGAATATCTCAACATACAAACGTAAGTAGTTCTGAATTACAACGTTATTTTGAAAGCCCGTCAATGGATGATTTCGATGATTTTGACATTTTGGAATGGTGGAAACGAAATGAAACTATGTGGCATGTGGTTTCACAAATAGCCCATGATATACTAACCATTCATATTTCTACAGTTGCTTCAGAAATAGCTTTTAGTGCAAGCGGACGGGTGTTGAGCGATTACTGCAGTAGGCTTTCACCCTAAATGATTAAGGCAGTGATGATATCCAGAGATCATATGCATGTGCTTACAAGAAGACAAAATAATAGTGAAAATGAGCGAATTCAAAATGATTTGGATGACATATCCTCGAGCAACGCAATTGAAATGTCTGTCTCCTCTAGTGATTGATCAACAATTTGTTTTTTACTATTTCATTTCATTTTTTTTTTTTTTTTTGAGGTGGAGTATAATGCAAATGATTGGTAAGCTAGTACGTGCCAACCTAGCTAGGATGTACTTGACCTATAGTAATGCAATTGATCTACTATCATCAATAATCTACACCTATTTTATTAAATGATATAAATTTTTGTAATATTTTATTTGATTTTGAAATAAAAATTATTCATTCAATAAATGTTATATAATTAATTTAATATTGTAATATTGAAAGTTTCATTTTCATATATATATATATGTATAATTATTCATTTCAAAAGAAAAAAAATTACATAATTGTATACTTTTTAAATTATAAGTTCATAATTAAAAAAATATAAGTTATACATAATTAAATTTAAATACCACCATAAAACATAACTAAACAAAAATCTCATTAATCTTAACTAAATTACTCTAGTATAATTTTTCTTTTATTTTTTATCCCTAATAAATAATCTATATAGATAAATGTATTTATCATTCATTGTTCTAAAAAAGAAAGGCCCATCTAGGCTCGGCCCACGGCCCGAGCCCAAGCCCTATTCTGAGTGGGCTGGGCTTGGACTTGTGCCCCATTTTTCAGCCCATGGGCCGACATGTTAAAAAATGAGAGCCAACGAGGCCTGCTTGAACTAGCCCGAGCTCAGGCCCGAATAAGCCGGGCAGGCCATTATTACATCCCTATACTAAACCGTGATAATTTTCTTTGGGCGCAATCATAAGCGTCCCTATTTGCTAAGAAGCCAATAAAAGAGATGTAGAGGAACTCACAAACCCGAGAGATTAGCAAGCACTCTCTCAAAATTGACTAAGACATAGTTTGACTAGTCCAACCCTACTTCCCAACTTGATAGAGAACTAAAGAAGTCTAGCTACATTTTTTTTTAGGGATGCTTGCGATTTGGTTTGCGGTTTGGACCTGTCCGTATATATATGATTTGGAAAAAGGTGAACCCGTAACTGCCCATAGTGTGGGTTGTAATTTATGAGGATAGGGTTCGTGGATGTACGGACGGTTTGCGGAGTAGACTTTTTTCTTTAAAATTTTATTTTTGGGCTTTTTTTTCCGTTTTGTTAATATTTATTTTAAAACCTTTCTC